AAGGAGAAGAATAACTGGACGAAAGAGAAGAGGAACATAGCAGAAACGGGGTATCGGAGACAGAAATCTCGCGTCGCCTATTTCAGATCGACGAGAAGCGGAGAAAGCGAGGGTCAAACTGAAATGAAAAAAAAAACTCGGGACACCGACGAAATCCACAAACGTGGCTCCTTCTACAGCTGACATGTGGTCGGTAGAACCGGTTGTGGGCTGCTTCCGCGAGAGACGATTCTGGAAATTTGGCTTGCCACATGTGTAATATTTTGCAATTGTTCTCTAATTATGGGCTAAAGAAACGTAGTGAGTATGTGCGTTGTTGCACATGCTCTAACTGTTGAAGTAACGGTCTTGTTTTAATTTAATTTTACTATCTTAAGATAAATTTTAAACTTGAAACCACATAATGGCCACGTAGAAGCATAGTAGCATTTCTTTAGGAAAAACATAGGATGTGAATTGATGGAAGTTATTTAAAAAAAATAGGTGGAAATTGTTTTTTACTCCCAATTCCCCATCTGGTTATTAACCAATTAAGTGGAAAACACAAAGATAATTATTCGCTCAATAATGCTATATGTAGCGTTATTTATTACTCTTATTATTAATTTTTTATAGAGTAAAACACTCTTTATTTTATTCCACCTGTTTACTTTATTTTCATTTTTCCTTCCGTTTCAATTACTTTTCTTTCATTTACTCCCAACTACTCTAAATAAATATTGTACAGTTACAAATCCAATACAAAAATATTACATAACTAAAATAGGATAAAAATTAGGCTTGAGATTTTTATCCGAACCTAAACTCGACCCGAGAAACCCGAACCAAATTTGAACTGAAATTGAAAAAAAAAAAACACTTTATTCCTATACAGTAATTTGTGTAAATAGGACAAATATACATCGTATTTAGCTAATAGGAAAAGTACTAATCACTTTTTTTTTAATACTAAACTACCCCTTCTCTCTCCTCTCTCCTTATTCTATTCTTCTCCATCGTTCACTCTGCCTCTTTCTTTTATCTCCCTCTCTATCTCCCAAATCTGAACTGAAATTGAAAAAAAAACACTTGATTCCTATACAGTAATTTCTGTAGATAGGACAAATATACATCGTATTTAGCTAATAGGAAAAGTACTAATCACTTTTTATAATACCAAACTACCCCTTCTCTCTAATCTCTCCTTATTCTCTTCTTCTCCTTCGTTTCACTGCGCCTCTTTCTTTTATCTCCCTCTCTATGTCTCCCAAATCTGAACTGAAATTGAAAAAAAAAACACTTGATTCCTATACAGTAAGTTGTGTAGATAGGACAAATATACATCGTATTTAGCTAATAGGAAAAGTACTAATCAATTTTTTTTTAATACCAAACTACCCCTTCTCTCTCCTTTCTCCTTATTCTCTTCTTCTCCATTGTTCACTCCGCCTCTTTCTTTTATCTCCATCTCTATATCTCCCAAATCTGAACTGAAATTGAAAAAACTCAAAAACCGGAAAAAATCTGAACCGAACTCGAACCAAAATTTTAAAAAACATGAAAAATTTCTATATTTGTAAACCTGAAACTCGAAAAATCCGACCCGCCCAAACTAAAACCCGAAACCTAGTAAAAATAATTGAATTCAAAATAATCAATAACATCAGAAATTAAGAGAAACTTATAATCCACATATCCAAAAGCATTAACTAAACTTAAACAAACAAAAACTTCACCACAATATACAAAATATTCGACAATAACATTACTCCCTCCATTTTATATTAGTTGTCGTTTTTAGAAAAGTTATGAAATGTATTAGAATGTGTTTTGAGTTAAATACATCCATATATATTTTATATACATTTCTAAAAATGACAATTAATATAAAATGTATAGGTATACATTAATAGAAATGGATTGAATTATACTCCTAAACCACGTACTGGTTAGAAGATAAACAGTAACACAAATAAAAATAAAAAATTATAAAAAAGAACTATATGATATTGTTTGCGTTTATATGATTTTCGTACAAAGAAAACTTATTAGTAACGAAACTTAGATAAATACATTAATAGTTTAATAGTTTAATAGTTTAATAGTTTTAGTTAATCCATGGTTTGACGCCGAAGTTGGAAGCACATGATTGATTAAGTTGATGTCTCACTGGAGTGATCTTTGCTATGAATGTATGCGTATGAAGATGTCATTCCACCAAACTAGCCCACAGATTTTGTCTACGCTAACACTGTTTACAGTCACCAATATGCGGTGGCGGAGCCAGTAAACTAGCAAGATGGTCAATTGACTTCCACTAATTCTTAAATTTTATTGAATTAAGGTATATAATTGTAATATAGATTGGTTATTTGGTTAGTTTCTAATGGTTTTAACTTTTACTAATTGTAAGTTCCCAAATTTTGACTCCACTATATACTTTTTTCTAGCTCCGCCTCTGCCACTATGTAACAATAAAATTATCCAACTCATTTTTCGAATTATCTGATTTAAAAAAAAAAACAGTCGCATTTAAAGTTCGAAAAATCTACTATGCATAAATTGTCATAAGATCAGTATTTGTACCATGTCAGTTTTTACTAGTAATCTTCAGTCTTCACTTAAGTTGGTATTTCGTAATGAGGTTTGTGATGGGTGAGAGTTTGACACAAAATGTTTTTTGAAAAAAAAAAAATATGCAATGATTTCATTCAATCGTTTCTTCACGTTAATTTTTGTTAGAAACTATGGTTTTTGAGTTTTTTAGATACCACATACTGTATTTGAGAATTTAAATTATTAAAAATGGAAAACGCTTTTTTTTACTGGTTGACCAAAAGACTAGTGTTTTTACATTTTGGTTGAACAAAGTCCAAAAGAGTTGGGCCATATTTTTGGTTGAACATACATTTTGACACAATTAAATAAAAGAAATCATCCTTTCCAGAACCAAAATGACAAAATCTAACACACACACACAAACACACAAAAGGGGTTCTTTTTTTTTTTCACTGAATCGTACGTTGTATTAAATAAACCTCACAAGGAGGGAAATGTAACAGTAACAGAGGCAAAACGGGAAAGGCTCAAAACAAAAACAACCAACAGAACACAGAGCATAAACAAGCTCTGATTCTACAAGATCAAAAAACCGAGAGGGAAGAAACTCTGATAGAGACGAAAGAAAGCCATCGGGTTGACTGACATTCAAATTATCACACACCTCCATTCAAATTAGCTCTCTCCATATGGAAGAAATCCCACATCCAAGAGGGCGCTCCAGTCTCTACATACGATGATAGCCGATCATCCGATGTGACACATTTGGCTATTTCGAAAGCTCCCATGTTGCATCTCCTGTCTTCAAAGCTAATGTCCCAGCCTATTTGTTCTCTTGTCAACATAATCAGACCTGCATATGCCTCAGAAACGCCGGCCATTGCGATGGTTGATTAAGAGCCTTTGATGATCTCCATCGATGATGCCGAAAGGTACGTTTTCTCTATGCATATCCTTCATACATTGCAGGGCCCATTCCCAGCTCCGGATTTTAGCATCAAAGCAAGTGGAGACATTAGTATAGGAACGTCGACTATGGCAAAGGACCGTCCCTAAGCTGTCACGTAGGACCCACGAAGCACCAGATATAGCCTTGGACTGTGACCATGAGAATTCAATATTGCATTTAAAATGTCCTGTTTCAGGCGGTGACCATCGCATCACCACCGGTTCCGTTGCCGGTATTATATTCTCAACACGGTTTTGCGCCATAGACCACTGTCTTGCATCATCAAAAGCCTTTCCAACGACTTCATGTGGCTCAAACCGCTTACCCTCGAATACCATTGCATTCCTATTTTTCCATAGGACCCATAAGACCCATGGAGGAACAGAGCGAATATCCTCCGGTACATCCTTCCTCGCCATTACCCCGAATAAATTTAGGTTTTCAAATAAAGAACTGCAAAACCCATTTTCCGGGGATGGAACATTAGATAAGGCCCACACCAATCTTGCCTGTGGACACTCGAAAAGGATATGATTTATCGACTCCAACTCATGCTGACAGAGTAGACATCCCAAGTCGCCCCTAATGCCTCTGGTTCTCAACCTCTCCATCACAGCCAATGATCCAGAGCAAGCTTTCCACATAAAGACTTTGATTTTTGGAGTAGATTTTACCTTCCAACACTTCTCGTAGATGGGATACATTGATGGTTGTGCCTCGGCCTGAGTATATAGATCTTTGTGTTTGATCTTACTCATGAGATCATATCCCGTCTTCACTGTATACACCCCATTCTTCGTACCTGTCCACACAAAGGAATCTTCTCTGGAAGTATATGGCCTCTGCCTACAGATGAGCTCAATATCATCCCGATTAAAAAGCTCCCTGAGTATAGTCATATTCCAGTTCTGCCTCGTCTCATCAATAAGATCAGAGACTCGTAACTCTATGTTCATCAAGGAATGCCTTCCTCCAGGTCGACTTGGGATGCCGTCATAGAGCCAATTGTCCACCCATACCAGAGTAGCTTTCCCATTACCTATCGAGCGTCTCAGCCCTTTCCTCAAAAGTTCTCGGCCGTAGATGATGCTCCTCCACCCGTATGATGCTCCGCGACCACTAGAAGCAGACAACAGATCACCATCAGCATAGTATCGACTTTTAAAGAACCGGCTGAACAGGCTTTGGGGGTCATGCAGTAATCTCCAGGCTTGTTTGGCAAGCAAAGCTTGGTTGAAAACTTGGATATCGCGAAATCCCAAGCCCCCAGCCTTCTTTGGCAGCGTTAATTTCTCCCAGCCTACCCAATGAATCTTGCTCTTATTCTCCTCTGTACTCCACCAGTAAGTCATCATGGCACTGGTAAGATCTTTACAGAGCTTCACCGGAAGTTTAAAGCAGGTCATAGCATACATAGGCATTGCCATTGCCACCGACTTGAGTAGCACTTCTTTACCTCCCTGAGACAAGGACTTAGCATACCAACCGTTTAGTCTCTTATAACAATTTTCCTTTATGTACCCCATAAGCTGTTGTTTGTGGATCCACTTAGATACTCCGGTAATCCCAGGTACTTGCCTGTTCCACCTTCAGTGAGGATATTGGATTTGGCCTTGATCCAAGCTTTGATTTCTGCCGAGACACGTGAGCCAAAAGTAATGGCCGATTTTGAAGCATTGATTTTCTGACCCGAAACTCTTTCATAATCACTTAAGACCTCGAAAAGCTCCTGACACTGTTGATTCGTAGCTTGACATATAAACAAGCTATCATCCGCGAATAGCATGTGATTAATGGACGGACCACTAGGATGAAACTGAATACCCGTGATTCTTGCTTGACTTTCAGCTCGATTAAGCAAATGGACCAAAGCCTCCGTACATAAGACAAAGAGAAATGGAGATAAGGGGTCACCTTGACGCAAGCCACGTTTTGGTCGTATCATTCCGTACGGTTGGCCGTTTATTAGGACAGAGTACGTGACAGTCTGTACACAACTCATGATCCAGTTGATCCATATAGTTCTGAAACCCATAGCCACCAAGAGCTCTCGTAAAAACCTCCACTCCACACGATCGTATGCCTTTGACATATCAGTCGTAATGGCCATAAAACTCTCCGAAATCTCGCGGTGTGAGCTCAGACTGTGGGCTATCTCATGGGCAATCAAAATGTTATCGGATATGAGTGTCTCCGAAACAAAAGCTGACTGCATGGGAGACACAATTGCGGGTAGAATCTTCTTCAGTCGAGATGTGAGGATCTTAGACAAGATCTTGTATAACACCGTGCAAAGACTAATAGGTCTAAGATCCGTCATTCGTCGAGGTGTACTAATCTTTGGAATGAGGGTGATATACGTATGGTTCCATTCGTCTTGTATCTTTCCACATCTAAAAAAACGGCGCACATCCTCAAACAGCTGATGCTTCACAATCTCCCAATACTTTTTATAGAAGAATCCAGTCATTCCATCATGGCCCGGTGTTTTCTCGCTCTCGATAGAAAAAACAGCTAAGCGGACTTCTTCCAAAGTTACATCACATATAAGCCCAGCATTCATTGCGTCTGTCACTCTAGGGAGAAAATCTGAGAAGATCTCAGTGAAAGACGTCGGGGAAGAAGTCTTAAACAAATCGGAGAAATACCGCACTGCCACTTCACTCTTATCCCGATTAGAAAACTGTTCTCTTTCGTGCTCATCAAGTAAAAACTGCAACGAGTTTTTAGCTCTCGTAGATTTCACAGAAGCTTGAAAGAACTTTGTATTCCTATCTCCTTCCCTCAACCACTTCTCTCGAGATTTCTGTCTCCAGAAGATTTCCTCGTCACAATAAGCTATAGCTAGCTCGATTTTGATCTCAGCAATTCTCGTAAACCATGGATATCGCTCCTCTTCTTCCTCTTCCAGTTCTTCTCGTAGCTTTGTGATCCTTGTCAAAGAATTTGACCCATTTTGCTCTTTCCATCCACTAATTGCTCTCCGGCAGTTAACAATGCGTGATAGACTTGTCCCCGAGTGAGATTAACTTCCACTCTCCCAAGTATTTTTGACCAACGGTTGAGAAATTAGGGTCCGGGGCCCATCTCTTATCAAACCTGAACTGACCACATAAGGGTTCACTCTCACCCATGAACTTGACCAAAACAGGCCTGTGATCAGATGGATACCTCTCAAGGAACCATTGATGTCCACTAGGGAACATCGATAAACACAACGGGTTAGCAACACATCGATCCAAGCAACATTTGATGGTTTGCTTGTTTCTAACTCCTCTCCACGTAAACTTATTCCTTGTGCTCCCTCACAGTTTTGCAGAAAAGTCTGAAACGGTCTGAAACTAGACAGATGCCTCACTTTACCACCAATCTTCTCATGTCGTTAGATAAAATCTCATTGAAATCACCTATCATACACCAAGCCTCCTTACGACTAGAGCCAAATCTAGTCACTCGTTCCCAAACTTTAGCTCGAAACTTTGGATTTGGATTCCCATATATGCATGAGAGAAACCAAACCCGACCACCACTTGTAATCTTCATATCCAAAACATTTTTATCTTCTAGAAGGAACACAGCATCCAATCTCCTTCCAAAAGATAGCAAGACCACCACTAAGACCATCAGGTTCGATTGTACGAAACCATTTGTATCCTAGTGCAACATGTAACTCTGCCAGAACTTCCAACTTGTTTTTTGTCTCCATCAGGAACAAAATATCAGGGAAATGCACCCGGCACATTTCCTTGATACAATCGATTGTCACGGGATTCCCAACTCCGCGACAATTCCAGCTCAAGATACCTATTTGATCTTCGGCAGATCAATTGGATCCACTCTTGTTTGGTCTCTCTTAATACACTTGGCTGAGACCTCTCCAACTTCTTCTGCCTTCTTTTTACTGTGACTAGACTCCTGCTGGCCAGAGCTCTGTTGTTGCTCTGTTCATTGAGATTGTTGTACCGTCCCTTTCTGCGACTTCCTAGTAACTGATTGGGGTCGTCTGCGATACTTCTTCTTCTTTCCTGTCCCTGTCCCGGAAGATCTAGCACCAGAAGTGCCAACCCTAAAACCCGTAGAACAGTCAGCAAAGGAAGATTCAGTTGATGCTGCCAACTCCATACTACGGAGCAGTTCCAAATTGGAGCGCCCACCTGAAAGCTGAGCGTCTCTCATCAATCTATCCCCTCGCTCTGCAGAAACATTCTGCTCCGGAAAGTGGAATACTAGTCCTTTCCCTTTATTGACATCTGTAGAGAAGATTGGGGCTGGTTCAAGACGTAACAGAGTCTTTTGTCCTAATGTATCTCCTTCCAAATCCAAGATAGACTAATTCACTCTCAACTCCCTTGCTTTCTTCTCAGCCGGGTCCACCACCTGGAGATATTGCCTGGCTACTTCTAGCACTTCATTAGCTATCTTCCACTTGCCTGTGTTAGAACACCAAACAGAGGATCATCTGGTAGCAGCCGCGGGGTCTGAACCACTATAGCTGCCGGTACAATTGCCTTAGCGGGAGCTGGCTTTGCGACAAGGTTACTCCGTCGAGCCGGATTCTCAGGGCATCTAGACTTATCATGTGTCAACCTTAGACACTGGAAGCATCGTTTCCGGATTCTCTCGTACTCAAACATAACCGTGACTACGTCTCCTTCCGGTAGTTCCACTGTCTTAAAGTTACAAAGTGGTTTGGAGGTGTTAAAGAGGACCCTTGCTCTGACATACCTTTGGTTTTGGGGTTTCTCTGGGTCAAATGCTACTTCAATCACCTGTCCAATCACCTCTGCAATGTCTGTGATTGTAGCTTCAGTATAGTAGTTCACCGGCACCTCATATAATCGCACCCAAACTGGGAGAATCGTTAGATAATCATCAGGCGGTTTTTCAACCCATCTCTCCAACGTGACACACCAATCATCATGTGTGTAGACGCCAACTTTCAAGACCTTCTTGAGATCCTCCTAATACTTAAAGAAAAACTGAAAACTATCTTTCTTGAGCGCTACTCCATGTACTCTATCAAAACAGTTAAAAGCCCTCGGGAGATCCCATATGAGGCTTTTCATGTTTTGATTTTCCGGATTAATCATCTTGTTCCTTTCAGTAGAACGGTATTTCTGGTGACTTGGAAGCTTAAGCGGCCTATCTCCTATGGTCATTGATTGTAGAGCTTTGTTAAAATCCATCTCCATCTAGTGTAGACGAAGCTTTGCAAAGATGATCAAAAACCAAACGAGAAGACCTCGGAAGTCTTGACGGCGGCTTCTCTTCTTACGGTATTAGGGTAAAACTTGTTCGAGAAAATTCGAAACTTGCCAAAAACGCAATGGTAGATTATGAAATGGTAGTTTGTTTTTTTTGTTTGAATCATATTTTAAATTAAAATTTATGGTCAAAATTTGGTGAATTCGTAGTTTTGGTAGATTTGAGGAATCCTATTTTTGGAGAAAATATTTAGAATAAGACTTCCGACGTAAAATAATATTTTTGAGAAATTTGTGATTTTATACTGCACAAATTAATTGCAGAGAAATTTTATTGACTCACAAATACAGCGGAAAATTTGTTAATCAGATTTTGTTTGATGGTAACGTTGCGGAATAGTTTGTAATGAATATTTCTATTTGCTTTCTTAATATAAATTTTAAAGAAAGTTTACCTTGACTACATTTTATCAGCAATATTTCTAAAGGTCTTTTAAATTTAGTTAAATTATAATCTTTTGAAAGAATCACATATTTAATGTATTTTGAAAATAGGAAACAACTTACATATAATAATACATATAAATAAATAGCAAAATATCTATTCATTATTCAAAAAAAAAAACTACAATATTAGTAATAGAGACAATATGCTTATTATTATATAAAAAATATTTTATATGGATTGAGAAAGAAATAAAATAGATATTAATCTAAAAACAATATAGAAAATGACATATTCATTCAATAATAATTTATTTTAAATACGAAAATGTTAAAGTTAACTCAATCCCACGCTTTAGGCGTGGGTAATCCCCTAATGTTTTTGGTTGAACATACATTTTGACACAATTAAATAAAAGAAATCATAAAATGACAAAATCTAACACACACACAACCACACAAAAGGGGTTTTCGAAGCCTATTAATGCAGTAAATTGAAGGGGGAAAAAAGAAGTTGAGAATCGAAGGTTTGGTTGGGTTTTTAAGCTTTTTGTTTTGAGATATCAAATTTCTAATGCCAATTTCATTTATTAATCTCCGCTATCTATCGACTCTCGCCATTCTTCTTCTTCACTCTCGTGACTACGACAATTTTGCCCGTTGAAAAAGGTAAAGCCTTAATTCTCTCTAGTTTCAAATTCCGGAATTTTTATGTTGGGGTTTACTCGTAGTCTTAGTCTTAAATGCAATACTTTTTGAATTGAGGCTGTGATGGAGATTCTTGGTCTGCGCTGGTCACTATTCCTGTAGACTCATAAACCCTAACCTGAAATGTTTCAACAATTTTGGTTCTTGTCGCTTAGTTTCCTTTTTTTTTTCCCGTGAGTGTTCAATTGGGTTTTGGGGAAAGAATATGAGCTGGATCTTGCTTAGACTGAGAATTGGTTGATTGATGATTCCTGGCAATTAAATGTTGTTGCTTTCAAAGTGTAGTAGATTTCTAGTATTCAAAGCGCCATGAAAACACGGTGGAGGCAGTACTTCTCTCGAGCTTTGACCTCATCAACGAATGCAAAAGGAGAAAACTCAGAGACAATCTCAACTGATCTCATCACCGAAATCCTCTTGAGATTGCCGGGAAGTCTGTAGCGAGATGTCGCTGCGTATCGAAGCTCTGGAACTCCACGCTTCGCGGTCCGTATTTCACGGAGCTCTTCTTGACCATGTCTTTGGCTCGTCCTCGGCTCTTGTTCTCCTTCCGAAAAGACCGTGAGCTCTGCTTCTTCTCGGCACCTCAAGGTGAGAGCTCCTCGTCTCCTGTAAGCGCAGATTATCATCTCAAGTTCAAATTAGATGATTCATACGAAGTCTGTGTCATGTTCACGTCCGGGTTTGGTCTGCCTTAATGATCTCCGAGACGTAAGGGAAGGAAAGAAACGGCTCCGGTGATATGTAACCCAAGCACAGGACAGTTGTTGCCTTTACCAAAAGTGAAGACGAATAGCGTGAGTTTTCTTGGGTTTGATCCGACTGATGAAGAATTCAAGGTATTGACCATAACCGATGGGGTTGAGCATCGAGTTCTGACGTTAGGGACTCGAAAACTTGAATGGAGAATGGATCGAATGTGGCATTCCACGTCATTATCCTAATAGATAGTGATGGGATATGCATCAATGGTGGTGTGTATTATAAGCTTGGGCGATCACTCAGTCTGTGATAGTTTGCTTTGATGTGAGGTTGGAGAAGTGTAGAGTTATTAACGAGCTGAGGGCATGCATCTAATTTGGTACTCTTGTAAACTACAAGGGAAAATTAGGTGTTTTTTGAAGAAAGCAGACGTTTTGAGCTGTGGGTTCTGGAAGACGCAGAGACATGAATGGTCGAAGCATGTATGTATTGCCACTGCCTCTGTGGGAGAATGTAGCTGGAGGCCAGTTATACATTGTTGGAGTGGCTGGTGGTACCGATGAAGTTGTCTTGTGGCCGCGATCTGTATGTGCTCCGTTGTATGTTTACTACTACAACATGGAGAGGAACACTTTCAGAAGAGTTGAGATCAAAGGAATGGACGCAGTTAGGGACTACACAGCACATGACACTAGACTATGTAGAGGACGTGAAGCTTATGGAACATGTTTAGGACTCACTTGAGAGTGATAGATCAATCCGGTCTTTCCATTTCTAGCATTTCCTGTTTTTTGTTGTTGTTGTTGTGTTGCTACCTTAAGTAAGAGAAGTGAAGTTCGTTTCAGTTTATGTGTTACTGTTTTTATTTCTAACATCTTATCTACTTGATATGAGTTGTAAAAAACTATAACTCGTGTAGCAGATTACGGATAGTGAAATGATCAAAATGTTAATTATCAAGAAGAAGAGGTTGAAAAAACTTTAAAGGCTATAGTGACTCGTCAATTTATCAAAAAAAAAAACTTTTCGAATTGAGAGGTTTCTTTTTGGTTTCTAAGATTTTATTTTATGTACTATATACCTCAGAATTTCCTATAAAGCTTCTTTCTAAGTTTCTCTCTCTAAGATGTCTCTCTAAGTTTCCAACATTTATTCTTCCTTCAATAATTTTTTGCTGTAAAATAATCTGTATAAAAACAAAAATTTGATGGATTCACTATGCTCTGATTTCATCACTCATTCGAGTGTATATATATGAAAAACATAACCAATGAAATTATTAATGCAAATTTATGTCATGACCCGTCTCGTCCCATTTTATTGCTTTTCATTATATCTTATCCGTCTGAGAACCATCCTATCTCATTTTGTTTCTTTGATTTTGTTATGTCCCATTTCGGTCCTTCTGTTTCTTTTCGTTCTGTCTCTAAATATAATAAGAGGTAGACAAAATTCACTTCTCATCCTGTTATTATGTTTCTTCTCAGCCCGTCCAGTCTGGTCTCGTCTCATTTCATCCCAATAAAAACAAAGTATATAATTTAATAAAACTAAAATTACTAAATAATAACTTTTTATAAATCTATACATAAGCTTCTTTTTTTTAAATGACTTTTCATATTCTTGTTCTTGTTAAACCTATTATATTAATGAATAATAATTAATTACTAGAATATTAAAACAATTAAACTTAAGGGTCTAACTGGTAAATGTGGAATGTAGCTAAATTGAGGAATGTAGCTGAATATATGATTTTAATATGTTACCAGTTAATTATGAGGTATTGTAGAATTGTGGAATTGAGAAAAGTTGAGCAATTGTAGATTTTATCACTACAAGACGAAAACATTCTTTTTTTCAGAAAACACTTTAACAAAAATGAAAAAACATGCTAACCTGCTTTTAATATACCAATCATTGTATACAATTATTAGTTTTTTATAATTAAATAGATAATTTATTGTTTATTTCTAAGAAATTAAATTTGATTTAAAAAAAATGCAGTCCAATAATAAAATTATGAATCCGAAAAATTAAATTACGAATCAGGAAAATAAATCTACAGATGTGGATCCAAGTAATAAAAATGTTTAGACGAACATATACAAATATATGAAATAATATATTAAATAATGCTTCTTTTAGTATAAAAAAAAACTCATTTATAATAAACAAAAAAAAACTCATTTATAATAAACTCTAATATAGATTTTTGAATCTTTATAGCACATAAACTTTGTGGAAGAACAAGAGAACAACAACAATGGACGATGTGGCATGTATCAGGAGGCTATATACATTTATAACTTAAATAAATGATAGATGTTAACTATAAAACATTTATCATTTTACTTGACTTCCACAGATTGTGATTTTTGTTATAAAATCATACAAGCATCATCTAACAAAAAAAATGAAATAAATATAATCTTTGTTATATGAGTATTCTTAAAATTCATTTTTGAAGTTTAAATTTTAAATACTATAACAAACTTGTGTTCTATTTTATTTTCAACAGTGAAATGCTAATTATATTTTCATATAAAATGGTGCAATTTTTAAAAGTTTATAATTCTTATGTTAAATAAAGTATTATGAATCCAAAATCTAAATTCTTAAATTCTATATATTTTTTTTTTAAATTATTTAATTATTTTTTAGTTATTTCACAACTATATGTTTTTATTTGTTTATTGATTCGACTGGGTAAATATTTTGTTATTCTATTGTACTAATAATTTGTTATATATTTATTTCGCATTCAGCAAAATTTAGCCGTTACCATTCACATTACTAAGTAATCAGCCAAATTCCGGAATTATTCATCATTTAATTCTGCAAGATTCCATATTCAACAAGATTCTTGGATTACCGTGTAGACCCTAAGATATACAACAATGATGTGTCAAATTTCTAGAGCTCATTTTTTATGATGTAGAGGACTGAGAAAAGATTAGGCTTGAAATTATATATATATATATATATATATATAGATTTTCAAGTATATTAAACAGATATTTTATAATTACAAATCAAATACATAAATATTAGGGTACATTACTGAAATAAAATAATTAATAACAGCAGAAATTAAGAGGAACTTATAATTCACAGATCCAAAAGCATGAGCTAAACTTGAAAACAAACTAAAAATTCACCACAGTATACAAAATATCTGACAGGCGACCGTAACACTGTATAATACAGCGAAAAGAAAACGGATTAAAATTATACTCCTAAATCCACGTGTTGGTGTTTGCGTTTATAGGATTTTCTTCGTAAAAAAAAACTTATTAGTAAGAAGCTTTGAATTTTGACCAAAAAAAAAAGTAACAAGCTTTTTTTTTTTTTTTTTTTTTTTGTCAACAGCCTAAATTCCTATACCGGTCCGGGAAGCGGAATCGGGGAACTGAGTTTATGTAATACACATCATGGGGCTGAGCTCGAGCACTCCGTGCTAGCTTGTCTGCCCTTGTGTTCTTCGTTCTGGGAATGTATGTGAGGGAGAACGCCTGGAACATCCCTCTACAATGCTCCACTTCTTCAAGCAAGATCGCAAAAGCTGGCCACTCGGCAGGTTTGGACACCATCTTCACCAACTGAGCGCTATCTGTTTGGAAATTCATCCGTCGTTTGTTATGGACTAGCATACTTTGCATAGCCCAAACCAATGCCTCCAATTCTGTTTGAAGAGGAGATAAACCCCGCCGTAGGTTGCTAGACCCCATCAGGAAGAGCCCGAATCCGGGTCAAAATTGTACCATCCAAGTCCAGCCCGACTGTCTGTCACTTTCCACGCTCCATCAATCTGACACCACTCTCCCGGTGGGACGTGGCCGGAGTTGATGGAGATACTATTATACTCCGTCTGCTACCGTTTGTGCTGCTACCCATGCCCGGGATTCCGTTATCGCAGATTCCATTACTTCCTGCGGATTTTGATCATCATTTGAGAAAACTTTGTAATTACGAGCTTTCCAAATAAACCAGAGTAACCATGGATACATCAACATGTCATCATTGTCTGGGAGGTTCCAGAATAGATGTGCCATATTTGAGTACAGTGCTCCCGTAGGAAAAAACTGGGGAGGCGTAGGTATGGGAGAGAGTGCCCAGGCCTGTCGGGCCGGGGGACACTCAAAGAGCATATGATTGATAGTCTCATCTCCCATACCACATCTCACGCACAGTGGGTCCACACGCATTCCCCGACTACATAAACGTGCGCCAACCGATAAACATCCGGTAATAATTTGCCAGAGAAAATGTTGGAGTTTTGTGGTGCATTTAACCTTCCAGGATTGCGCTTGCAATCTCCGAGTGTCCGGTCCAAAGACTGGTAGTGTCCCCTCATCTGAGAAAGCTCCTGTAGCACAGTATATCCCGATTTAACCGTATACCGACCCGTTGTTGTATAAAACCAGCCCCAGGTATCGGGTTTATATCCAGTAGCCACTGTTATACCCGTAATGCGAGTGATTTCCTCACTCTCAAAAAATTGTTGCAATAGTGGTCGATTCCACGTTGAGGTCTGGGAATTAATTAACTGATTCACCGTGAGGTGTGGGTAGTAATTAATTCCTTTACAGATAGCTGGCCTCGGGCAAGAATCGGAAATCCAGGGGTCATACCATACAGATATAGATGAACCTGAACCAACTCTTTTAATAAGTCCTTTGCATACCAGAGGTCGAGCTGAAACGATACTCTGCCATCCATAAGATGGAGAGTAAGAGCGAATTGGGTCCAAGGGGGTTGAGTTCCGAAAATATCTCCCCTTGAAAACTTTAGCAAACAGGGAATCCGGGTTATCCATTAGGCGCCATAACTGTTTTGCGAGTAGCGCTGTGTTAAAATCTTCTATTACCCTAAATCCCAGTCCCCCGTCAGTTTTATGTCGACACAGCTTCCGCCACGCGAGCCAATGCATACCCCGTGTTTGGGAATTTGTGCTCCACCAAAAATTTGCTACCGCACTTGTTAGTTTATTTGTTACTCCCTTTGGTAATCTAAAACATGACATGACATGTGTCGGCATCGCCGAAAGTACCGACTTGACCATTACTTCTTTTCCCCCTTTAGATAGAACCTTAGATGTCCAGCCGTTTATCCGCTTCTGCTGTCTATCGATCAAGAAACTAAAAATCTTTGTTTTGGCACCCCCCAAGCTCTCTGGGACACCTAAATAGTTACCAACTCCCCCGACCTTATGTATACCTAACATCTGATGAATCTCCGCACGTACCGTGTCTCCACCGTATGGCCAAATTGGATAGATGATTTATCAAAATTTATTTTTTGGCCTGATGCCCGTTCGTAGTTCTGAAGAATTTGTAGTAAAACTGCACTCTCCTCAACCGTGCCTTGCAAAAAAATAAGCTATCATCCGCAAATAGTAAATGTGATACTGGTGGGCTTGCACGAGCCACCTTCAGACCCGTTAGAGATTTAACAGATTCTGCCCGTTTAAGATTTGATATCAAAACTTCTGTACAGAGAATAAAGATGTAGGGAGATAAAGGATCTCCCTGACGTAGGCCCCTATTCGGAGTTATTTTTCCCCGTGGTTGCCCGTTGATGAGTACTTTATACACAACCGACTTTATGCATTTCATGATCCACCCGATCCATCGTTCTCCGAATCCCATCTTCCGCATTGTGGCTTCAACAAATTGCCACTCAACTCGATCATACGCTTTGCTCATATCAGTTTTTACCGCCATATACTTTCCCTTACAAGACTGTTTGTCCTTAGGCCATGAAACATTTCTTGTGCTATCAGAATATTGTCCGAGATCAGTCTCCCTGGGACAAAAGCTGACTGGGTCTCCGAAATTAGCTGGGATAGTACCGTTTTCAACCTCTCACATAATACTTTAGAGATAATTTTATAGCCCACATTACATAGACTAATTGGGCGCAGTTCCGTCATCCGGGTAGGACGCTCTGTCTTTGGGATTAAGCAGATGTTCGTCAAATTTAATCTGTCATCAAAGGCTCCCGTTATCAAGAAATCATTAATAAGCCCCAAAATATCCGTTTTTATTAACGGCCATGATTTTTGAAAAAATAAGGCCGTCATCCCGTCCGGTCCGGGAGCTTTCTCCGGGTTCATCAGAAACAGAGCCGCCCGCACTTCCTCTTCCGACGCTGGGCGCATTAGCAGTGCATTATCGGTTTCCGTGATCACCGCTGGAATACCTTCAAGTATGTCCGTGAAATCATCTGGGGAAGTAGTCGTAAATAAATCCGAGAAATAATCAACCGCCACCTTTTCCATCTCTTTTTCCCCGGTAACCCAGTTATCCGTCTTATCATGTAAACCGACCATCCTGTTTATCGCTCTTCTCTGTTTCGTGGTTGCATGATAAAATTTTGTATTTAAATCCCCATCCTTAAGCCAGAGATTACGGCTTTTTTGCTTCCAGTATTGTTCCTCATCTCGGTAAGCTTCCTTCAATTTTTGTGTGATTTCATCCAGATCTTCCTGGGTTCGAAGATCATCATTTTGAATTTCTTCAAGAGCTTTCTGTAGTTCCGCTATTTTTTCCTTTCCATATGGTTTATTTTCGTGCCGCCATCGGAAATTTCATGACGGCATTTACGGATCATATCCACTACATTTGATTCCGCAGTTTGATTATCCAACCAACCTCGTTTAATTGCTTCCGAAAATCCATCTTGCCCAATCCATCGTTTATCAAATTGAAATTGCTTCTGTGCCCTAGAAATCTTATTGTCAATGGTTGCCAGAATCGGCCGGTGATCGGACCTGATGTACTTGCATTTTACATAGTTTTAGCACATCTTTTATGCATCTTTTGCATAGTTTTAGCTTCCATTTGCATCATATCTTGTTCCTTTTCTCTTCTTATGCATTCATGTTAGTTTTAGGTTGCATTTGCATACATATGCATGTTTGGTCCTTTGAAATAGGTCTTTTGGAGCATTCTGGAGCATATGGGACATAAGGAGCATGGAGGGACTTGGCACATGGAAGCAGCTCAACTGGATACGCAAAGGAAGAAGGGAGAAGCCATCTTGAAGACCAGCTCGACCGTCCACTCGACCAACCGGTCGAGTTCCTCAACTCGACCGGCCAAGCTTCAACTCGATCGAGCTGGGAAGTCAAAGTCAAACCCGAAAAATGTTGCTTCCCCCTTGACTTCCTTTGACCCTAAACCTAAAACCTCTTGTATTTAAAGGCTCTAAGCCACGAAAAAACCACCAAGCTTTAGATTATTTTGTTTTAGTTTCTTTAATTTATTGTCTTTTACTTTTTAGAGATCTAATCCCATCTTTGTGTTCTTGAAGCTCTTGCTTCTTGAATCTTAGATCCTGGATAATCTTCTTTGTATTTGCACTTGCTTATTTCAATAAAAGTTGTTTAATTTCATCTCCTCTTTCTTATGATGTCTCTTTTATTGCATTTGCTTGTGTTTACATTCATGTGTAGTGAGTAGTTACCCATTGGGGTTTGAGATGGGATAGATTAGAGGTTTCATATGCTTAATCCTTCTAGCTTATGGTCTTAATCTAGATTCTCTCTCTTTTGGATAGATCTTAAGGCTACATGACCACTACCCCTGGCTTGTAAGTCCTTAGGCGACTCCCCACACGAAAGTGATNCCACTACCCCTGGCTTGTAAGTCCTTAGGCGAGTCCCCACACGGAAGTGATGGCATTCGCTGGAAAAGATCCACTAAGAGCTCCAATATCTCTTGCTCTAGACATAGAGGTCTAAGGGGTTGGATGGATTAGTTTGGGCAATGATCCTATAGCCTCCAAGGTTTGATTCTCACTGGCTAACCCCCTGTTTCTGAGATCATTCCTTGGTTGATAGCCTTCACCTTGGGAAAGGGTTGGCTAGGCATTGAGAAGCCCAATATCAAGAGAAGCCTTGATACAAGGAGTTTTAAGAGCTAGATTGATTAAGTGTAGATTCCTTTGATTGCAAAACCCTGTCTTGAACCCTAATTCTCTCTTTATCTTGTTAAAGTCGTCACCTTTACTGCTTTTTCGCTAACTCGACCCTCAACTCGATCGAGCTGGTACTCTGTTCCTACTCGACTCGAGTCCTGGTCGAGCTACTTGTTTACTGCTTTGTTTACTTTTATTGCACTGCATTCATTTCTTAGGTTGTTAGTGTTACTTCAAATCTATTAACTGCTTGCTTGACTTCTGGTTGTTTCATATTCTCATAGAGTGACAAGTTTCCCATTTTGGATTGATAACCTCTTATACTACATGACTATGATGGTTAAGAGGAATTGTTGACTGTGTTTGTGTTTGCATCTTACCATCATCATTACCACTGATTGCATTCCACATCTCATTTCATATCACACACCACACACAAAATCCTATCATCAATTTGGCGCCGTTGCCGATTTGGGATATTTTTGTTGCATTTGAGTTTCAAACACACTTGGACGATCAAGCTATACCACCCCTGTTCTATTGTACTGCTGGGTTTTTGTCTCTTTTTGCAGGTGTATGCGAACTCGATCGAGTCGGTCAACTGAAGACTTGGTCGAGCTAGACATTACAACGGGTAGAAAGAGGGTTCAGAGGTCACAGAGGGTACAAGAGGAACCTGAGGTGCTTGTTGCTGATACAATGGATGTACCAGAGGGGAATGGAAACCCTTTGGGAATGGACTCGGTCGAGCTAGGCAAACTCGACCGATTGGTCAAGGAGATGCTCCAAACCGCCACCAACAGAGACAAGGGATTGTTCCACCACCAGTGCAGAACCACAACTTTGAGATCAAGCTGGGAATGATCAACCTTGTCAGAACAAGATGTTCCATGGATTGCCAAGTGAAGACCCCATTGACCACCTTGATGAGTTTGATAGGCTTTGTGATTTGACAAAGATCAATGGTGTCTCTGAAGATGCCATCAAGCTGAGACTCTTTCCTATGTCTCTAGCTGACAAAGCTCACCAATGGGAGAAGAGCTTGCCCCATGGCACAATCACCACTTGGGATGAATGCAAGAAGGCCTTTCTTGCTAAGTTTTTCTCCACCGGTCGCACAGCCAAGCTTAGAGGAGAGATATCCAGCTTCATCCAGCGAAACAATGAGACATTCGCAGAGGCTTGGGAGAGGTTCAAAGGCTACACAAGTCAGTGCCCACACCATGGATTCAACAATGAATCACTACTCTCCACTCTTTATAGAGGATGCTTGCCTAGGTATAGGGAGATGCTAGACACAGCTAGCAATGGGAACTTCCTCAACCAGGATGTAGATGATGGCTGGCAACTTGTGGAGAACATGGCCATATCAACAGAATGCTATGGAGAGCACTATGAAAGTACAGACTGGAGCTCGACCGCGCACTCGATCGAGCTGGACGCTCAGATGAGAAAGACATGCTTGCACTCAACTCGAAGTTGGACAAACTGATCCTAGCCCAATTCCCTGCCAAGCATGTCAACTATGTCTCAGAACAAACCTTAGTCAAGGACCAGGAAGGGGAGGAGACAACACAAGAGTTTGCTACATTCAAAATAGACAAGGAAGCTATAGGAATCCTCAACAAGGGCGATACAACAATTATCAAGCCCCCTGGCCGCACCAACAACAAAGTGTTCCACAAGGTTTCAACACAAGGACTACTCATACCCAACCAACTCAAGATTGGGATATGAAGGAAATGCTCCAACAACTTTTACAAGGGCAAGCCAAAGGTTCTCTGGAAATGAACAACAAGCTGGTTGAGATACACTCTAAACTAGAGTCATTGACTTCAAGAGTCCAAATCATTGAGTCTTCAAGTGCATCATCCTCTTCACCACAAGAGTATGCCCAAGCAGTTACACTAAGAAGTGGGGCAATTCCCAAGTAGAGGTAGCCCACCCCAAATCGCTGTGGACATCGATGACGAGGAAGGGGAGGATTTAGTCGACTATGCTGATAACTCGACCCGAACTCGATCGAGCTGGAACAAAACCCTGAACCAGAACTCGATCGAGCTGGAGAAACTGAGACACTGCAAGACAAACCAGAGCTCGATCGAGCAGAAGAGAACAGACAAAGCAAGCTCCAGCCAACCAGCTAAACCTGTTGCAAAGAAGAAAGACACTCCAGCAGGACCACCACCATACAAAGCCCCCTCTGCCCTTTCCAGGAAGGTTCAAGAAACAACTGTTGGAAGCACACAAGGCCAAGTTTGATGAACTAATGAGACAGCTTGAGTTGAAGTTGCCTTCATCGACGCCTTGATGCTCATTCCACCTTATCAGAAATTTCTGAAGGATGCTGTTCAGCAAAGAACCAGGGAAGCACAAGGGATGGTAGTGTTGACTCGCGAGTGCAGTGCAATCATTCAGCGGAAGGTCATCTCCGACAAAAAGGAAGATCCGGGGAGTTTCACTTTGCCCTGCATGTTGGGACCCCTATCTTTCAAAAACAGTCTCTGCGATCTAGGATCATCTGTCAGCCTCATGCCTTTGTCTGTAGCAAAGAGACTGGGATATCACAAGTACCAAGCCTGCGGAATCTCACTAGTCTTGGCAGATAGATCGATAAGGTTACCAACTGGGATGCTTGAAGACCTGCCTTTGAGGATAGGGAATGTAGAAATCCCCACAGACTTCATTGTGCTTGAGATGGATGAGGAACCAACAGATCCATTGATTCTAGGAAGGCCATTCCTAGCTACAGCAAGAGCAATGATAGATGTCTGTGAAGGAACAATTGAGTTAAACTTGGGAAAGGACCTGAAGATGAAGTTTGATATCAAGGATACAATGAGGAAACCAACTATAGAAGGTCAGCTCTTTTATGTTGAGGAAATGGATCAGTTGGCAGATGAGCTTCTAGAAGAGTTATCAACAGAGGATCCACTACAAGTTGCTTTGACCAAGGATTCTTCAGAGGGATATGTGAGCTCAGAAACTGATGAGTACAAGAAGCTCCTTGACACCTTCAGACCAGTTCCAAACATTCTGAGCATTGAGGATTGGACAGGCCAGTTTGCGAAGTCATGGCAGTGAGCTCGATCAAGAACTCGATCGAGTCGAGTTTCGAACAAACGAACTCGATCGAGCTGGGGGCTGAGAGCAAGGAGCAAGCTCAAGGAGATTGGTCTGAGCTTAAGGCGCCTAAAGTCGACCTCAAACCTTTGCCTGAGGGCCTCAGGTATGCATTTCTGGGTGAAAACTCAACTTACCCTGTCATTGTGAACTCTGATTTGGAACCTGAACAGTTGAGTGCTTTGCTTGTTGAATTGAGAAAGTACAGAAAGGCAATAGGTTACACTCTAGATGATATCAAGGGGATCTCCCCTGACCTATGCATCCATAGGATTCATCTAGAGGATGAAAGTAAGTCAAGCATTGAACCTCAAAGAAGATTGAACCCCAATCTAAAGGAAGTAGTGAAGAAAGAGATACTCAAGTTGCTTGATGCTGGGATAATCTATCCCATCAGTGATAGCACTTGGATATCTCCAGTTCATTGCGTCCCAAAGAAAGGGGGGATCACTGTCATTAAAAACGACAAAGAGGAGCTGATTCCCACTAGAACAATAGTGGGGCATCGCATGTGTATTGACTATAGGAAGCTAAATTCAGCATCTAGAAAGGATCATTTCCCTCTCCCTTTCATTGATCAGATGTTAGAAAGATTGGCAAACCACCCTTTTATTGTTTTCTTGATGGCTACAGTGGTTTCTTCCAAATCCCGATCCACCCTAATGATCAGGAGAAGACCACTTTCACATGCCCTTATGGCACCTTTGCTTATCGAAGGATGCCATTTGGGCTGTGCAATGCTCCAGCTACTTTCCAGAGGTGCATGACCTCCATTTTTTCAGATCTGATAGAGGAGATGGTAGAAGTCTTCATGGACGATTTCTCAGTCTATGGAGCATCCTTCTCCTCATGTTTGTCTAACTTGTGCAGGGTGTTGCAGAGGTGTGAGGAGACCAATCTAGTACTCAACTGGGAGAAGTGCCACTTCATGGTTCGAAGGGATTGTGCTTGGACACAAGATTTCCGAGAAAGGGATCGAGCTCGATCGAGCTAAGGTGGATGTCATGTTGCAGCTCCCTGTTCCCAAGACTGTGAAGGACATAAGGAGTTTTCTGGGTCATGCAGGGTTCTACAGAAGATTCATCAAGGATTTCTCAAAGATAGCAAGACCCTTGACAAGGCTTCTGTGCAAGGAGACAGATTTTGAGTTTGATGAAGAATGCCACAAGTCTTGGACCTTGCTGAAGGATGCTCTGGTGTCTGCGCCAATAGTACAAGCTCCAAACTGGGATCACCCATTTGAGATTATGTGTGATGCATCTGACTATGCAGTAGGAGCAGTGCTTGGCCAAAAGATAGACAAGAAACTCAATGTCATCTACTATGCAAGCAAGACTATGGATGATGCTCAGTGCAAGTATGCAACCACAGAGAAGGAGCTCCTTGCCATAGTCTTTGCCTTTGAGAAAGTTTCGAAGCTATATAGTTGGATCCAAGGTGATTGTGCACACTGACCATGCTGCCCTTAGACACATCTTCGCTAAGAAAGATACAAAGCCAAGACTTCTCAGATGGATCCTTTTGCTTCAAGAGTTTGACATAGAAGTTGTGGACAAAAAGGGAGTAGAAAATGGAGTTGCTGATCATCTCTCTAGGATGCGAGTTGAAGACATGATCCCCATCAATGATTCTATGCCTGAAGAACAGCTTATAATCATGATCTTGAAGGAGAGTTTTGATGAGAAAGCCAGGCTGGAAGAAGTTAAGGCTCTGCGTGATGAGAATTTGCCATGGTATGCTGATATAGTGAACTTCATGGTGTCCGGAGAAGTCCCTAGTAGCTTTGATGCTTACAAAAGGAAGAAATTCTTCAAGGATGCTAGGCATTACTATTGGGATGAGCCCTACCTGTACAAGAGAGGACCAGACAGCATTTACAGGAGATGCATAGCTGAAGAAGATGTGCAAGGAGTTCTAGAGCATTGCCATGGGTCAGCTTACGGAGGTCACTTTGCTACATTCAAAACAGCAACTAAGGTTTTGCAATCTGGTTTATGGTGGCCTACTTTGTTTAAGGATGCAGCAGACTACATTGCCAAGTGTGATCCGTGCCAAAGGAAAGGAGGGATCACCAAGAGGGACGAGATGCCACTAAACCCAATTCTAGAGGTTGAGATCTTTGATGTATGGGGAATAGACTTCATGGGACCTTTCAAACCTCTTCAAACGGGCACAACTACATTTTGGTTGCTGTAGACTATGTATCCAAATGGATTGAAGCCATTCCCTGCCCAACCTGTGATGCCAAGGTGTTGTCAAGCTTTCAGAACCATCATCTTTCCAAGGTTCGGCATCCCAAGGGTTGTTATCTCGGATGGAGGTTCCCATTTCATCAACAAGGTGTTTGAAAAGTTGATGAGAAGCCATGGGAGTCAAACACAAGGTCGCCACGCCTTATCACCCTCAAACCAGTGGGCAAGTTGAAGTCTCCAACAGACAGATCAAGGCCATATTGGAGAAGACTGTGAGCTTCACTAGGAAAGACTGGGCAGCAAGGCTTGATGAGGCACTTTGGGCTTATAGAACAGCCTACAAAACCCCCATTGGAAGGTCTCCTTTCAATTTGCTGTATGGGAAGGACTGCCACTTACCTGTGGAGGTCGAATATAAGGCTTTATGGGCAGTAAAGATGCTGAACTTTGATATAAAGGCAGCACAAGAAAGGAGGGTAATGAACTTGTTTGAGCTGGAGGAGATAAGAATGAATGCCTATGAGAACTCTAGGATTTACAAGATGAGAACCAAGGCAGCCCACGACAAACTGATTCGCCTTAAGGACTTCAAGGTTGGGGACAGTGTGCTCTTGTATAACTCCAAGCTAAGGTTGTTTCCCGGGAAGCTGAGGTCAAATGGGCGGGACCATTCAAGATTCACGAAGTTCTACCCTATGGGTCCCTCACTTTGCTCAATCAAGAGGGGAAGGAATTCACAGTGAATGGACATAGATGCAAGCCATATCTAGGAATGACCCCCACAGAGGAGATCATCACTCCTCTAGAAGATCCAACCCCGGCCTAAAAGGGGTAAGGTCAAGCTAAGAGACCTAAAACAAGCTCACTTGGGAGGAATTCCCATGTCTATCTTATGTATTTATACTTTATCCTTTTATTTTTATGATTTTTCTTGGCTGAGTCTCACAGGAGCAGGTTTTAGGAAGGAGAGTGGCTAACTCGAGGCACAACTCGATCGAGTCAAGAGCAAGCTCGATCGAGTGAGCGCGAACCCAGTTGAGTGGAGTGCTCCTGATGGCCGTCTCCCATCTCCAGACCACGACCTAGCCTCCCAGTTCTTTGGGGGCACTGAGGTATCCAAACACCAACCCTTGTATATACCATTTCATATTTTCTTTGCATTTGTTCTTGTTTTTCTTGGTTTTGCCCTCTTGAATCTTTCACTAAATTTTTCTCACACAAGGGACTGTGTGATTTAAGTTTGGGGGAGGGTTCAAGAGATGATTTAACCTTGTTTTCTTTGTTCTTAGTTTTTCATTTATCTTTTGCATAGAAAAACCAAAAAAATCATAAAATTTTCAAAAAATCCAAAAATATTTTCATCTTTTTGCATTCATATTTGTTAGACTTGTTTAGGATTGCATTTTTCACTTGCATTGTTGATTTGACTTTGAAAACTTGTCCATCTTTTGCGATTTCTTGAGTGCCCTGTTTTTAGATTCTTTTGTGCATTAGGGTGAGATTGATTGAGCAGCAAGAACCATGTTTATCTTGATCATATCACTGCATGCACATCTCATTCAACCATTGCTGTGATTTGATGCATTTCCCTATCTATTTGAACCATAACTTGATCTTTAATTACCAATGCTTGCATTTGATTTCAACTCATGGCTACCACATACATATCTGGACATTCTTTACCATTTTCATATCCCTTTGCTTGTCCAGATAGCTGATCTCTATCTTTGAGACAGTTACCACACCTTAAACCTAAGCCTTTTCATTTCAAACCCCATTATTATCTCTTGTGCGAATGTGAGAACCTTTCTTGGCTTTGCTTAGCATAAGGTGTTGTGTTTAAACCGGCAGGGGCAGTAGTTCTAGTTGTCTAGTTCTCTTGGGATTGTTTTCAGGCTAAGTTTGGGGGTGCCAACTCGAGCTCGATCGAGTTGGGTGTAAAAACCAGAAAAGTGGTAAAAGTTGGGAAAAACCCAAAGGAAAAAGAGTTTAGTTAAGTCCAGGGAGTTGGCAGTGTTAAAAAGGGTCTAGTAAAGGTTTGGGAAGTTAAAAAAGGAAGTAAAAAGGGTTCTAAGTAGAATGAAAAGAAGGCAAAGCCTCAAGTGTCAAAAAGGAAAGAAAAGTTCCCTAAGTGTTTAGAAAATCCCAAACCGCTAGATGTTACCTCAAGAAGCCTCTCCCTAGGAAGTTCTTAAAAGAAAAGTGAGCAAAGCTCCTCAGTTTCAAAGGCGAAATGCCAAAAAGGGTAGTTAGGATTTTGTTCTAAAAAGCTCTAAGTGTTGAACTCGATCGAGTTAGGATTAGGCGGCTCGAGCTGCTGTTCTTGCATCATCTTTGGTTCTAACACTTAGCCTTCTGCCAAAGCAAAGCCACTTTCTTGAGAGATCCCTGTTACTAAACCACCATACAAAAGAGACCCTCTTTGTCTCTTAACCCATAAACCCTTGAAACCAAATGAGTTGATTGATCTTGCATGTTTTTGGTTCACTGTTTTTGCTTAATGAATGTTAAAGGGATTTGCTGATTTGAATGCATTGTTTGAGTGACTGTGAAGTGGGATTGATGTTGATAAGCATGGTTAAATCTTAATGAATATCTCTCACCTTGTTGCATTCTAGAATCTCTAAGTTGGACATTTAGCAAATCGCTTTTGAGGACATGTTTTTAAGTGTTGAATCAGCTTGTTTTCAAACCTCATCTCTTTCTTGTTCTATTTGTTTGCTTGAGGGCAAGCAAAGTTCAAGTTTGGGGGTGTTGATGTACTTGCATTTTACATAGTTTTAGCACATCTTTTATGCATCTTTTGCATAGTTTTAGCATCCATTTGCATCATATCTTGTTCCTTTTCTCTTCTTATGCATTCATGTTAGTTTTAGGTTGCATTTGCATACATATGCATGTTTGGTCCTTTGAAATAGGTCTTTTGGAGCATTCTGGAGCATATGGGACATAAGGAGCATGGAGGGACTTGGCACATGGAGCAGCTCAACTGGATACGCAAAGGAAGAAGGGAGAAGCCATCTTGAAGACCAGCTCGACCGTCTACTCGACCAACCGGTCGAGTTCCTCAACTCGACCGGCCAAGCTTCAACTCGATCGAGCTGAGAAGTCAAAGTCAAACCCGAAAAATGTTGCTTCCCCCTTGACTTTCCTTTGACCCTAAACCTAATCCTCTTGTATTTAAAGGCTAAGCCACGAAAAAACCACCAAGCTTTAGATTATTTTGTTTTAGTTTCTTTTAATTTATTGTTTTACTTTTTAGATCTAATCCCATCTTTGTGTTCTTGAAGCTCTTGCTTCTTGAATCCTTAGATCCTGGATAATCTCTCTTTGTATTTGCACTTGCTTATTTCAATAAAAGTTGTTTAATTTCATCTCCTCTTTCTTATGATGTCTCTTTTATTGCATTTGCTTGTGTTTACATTCATGTGTAGTGAGTAGTTACCCATTAGGGTTTGAGATGGGATAGATTAGAGGTTTCATATGCTTAATCCTTCTAGCTTATGGTCTTAATCTAGATTCTCTCTCTTTTGGATAGATCTTAAGGCTACATGACCACTACCCCTGGCTTGTAAGTCCTTAGGCGACTCCCCACACGAAAGTGATGGCATTCGCTGGAAAAGATCTCGGCCGGACGTGGGTCGATCTTCCCCGGTCGGACGAGTGCATCGGCCGTGGTACGCGAACGGTTGCGCGGCCGCGAGGCTTTGTTTCCCGGCTCGCGCGCTTGGTCGTGCGCGGCGTGGCGTGGTTGCTTGAAGCTTGGCCGACCGCGGGACAATGTTTCCCGGGTCGTATGCGTGATCGGCCGATGGCTTGAACTTTGGCCGAGACATCAGTCGGACGACGGTTTTGGCCGAGCGCGGAACATCGTTCCTCGGCCAGCCGGACTGCGCGTTCGGCGCTGATTCTCGATATGGCCGTCTGGAGCAGCCTTCACTCTTTTGGCTATAACTCCTTTTCTACTCATCCAAATGAAGCCATTCCAGTTGCGTTGGAAAGTTAACTCAATCAGAGCACGCAGGGAACTGGTCTTGATGAAATCCATTGAGTAGATCTTTTTCTAGCTCCTCCAAAGTTGATGCAGGGGCATTGAACTGGTTTAGAGTCCAAATCTCCTGTTTTGCTCCATAATGCACCTTTTTACCTAAAATGACTCTTTGCACTATAAATCCATAAAAACTACCTTTTTAGATAGAAAATCCACTAGAAAACCATTAGAAAACCATAGTAAAATAGCATAAAAAGTAGGTAAAATAGAGGTATATCAACTCCCCCAGACTTAGATCTTTGCTTGTCCCCAAGCAAAAAGAATCTAAACTAGTGAAGAGGTTTTGAAAAACGTGGGAACTCCCTTGCTTCTTTGAAATCCTGTGAAAGGTTCCTTTCCTGTATTCCACTAAGAACATAGTCAACATAAGGTTAGCTTCACATACACCCTGCAAGTTTAGCGAACAATACCAACCCAACTAGTCTCATCCAGCAATCCAAACTCTCTATTGCTAACCTCTTGCATAAATTTAAAGCGTGAGTTCTTTATCAAGGGAACATCGATCAATTGAACTTGTTCTTACCCACTTGATCTTCTCCAAGATTGTCTTTGAAGTGCAATGAGTTCCTTTTCCTCTCTCTTTCTCACATCAGAACTTTGAAAGGTCAATTTCTCCCTACTTTTCTAGGGTATCATTTTATTTTTTCTATTGACCCTTCTTTCAACCACAGGATAAGTCTTTAGCTTGTTCCTTGTTTGATAAGGTATTCCATAAGACATGAAGGTACAGACATATGCATTCCTCATGCTTACTTGTTTTCCTTGTGCTCTTTGAGCTTTTTCTCATACCTTACCATTTGGGATGGGAGAGAGAGGTGAACTCTTTAGACAAATCTCATTGAAAATCAAGCAAGGAACTGTCGACATGTATGCCAATCCCCTTGACAAGAGTTATTAAGATTGATTAAGGGTGAGGTTAACTCTAGATTGCTTGGTTACCTTAGAAATTTCGCTGAGCTAGCATGCGATCCACTCTAGGAGCTTCTGTTAGGCTTGTGCTTCTGTTAGGCTTGTGATGTTTGCTCTAGGGTCATAGATTGTTAGCATAACACTATCAAATCTCAAAGCAAGTTCATTGTTCCCGGACTGGTTTTGACTCAATAAAACAGAAGTTTTGAAAAAGTGGGTTAGGAAAAACCAATTATAAGATCAAAACAACCATGAACAAACACATTAGTACCGACAATCCCCCCAGACTTAACTTGCACCGTCCCGGTGAAAGAAAATCCAATTAAGGGAGTTAAAGAAAGAGGTAATAAAGTGGTTGTGAATGTAAAAAGAAAGATGTAACCTGATTTTGTGTTACTTGAAGAATGGTGAATGCAGTGGAATGATGGTAGTGATGGAATGCAAGTGTGGTGAGGTGGGATGGGTGAGATGCAGATGGAATGAGATGGGATGGTGTGTTGGGCGCTTGAGAGGACATGGGCGAGCGTGGAGAGGTTCTGCTCGGCCATCTAAGTCGCGCCAACTATGAACATTCTTCTTGTGGTATATCTTCTTTACCATTGTGTGGTTCTTAGATTCCTGTTTCCAAAACTCAAAACAAAACTAGACATTAACTAAAACTAATTGAAAAGAAAAGTAAAGAAAAACACCTTTCATGGGTTGCCTCCCATGCAGCGCTTCTTTTGAGTCATTAGCTTGACTGATAGGATCTCTTAGTTGGAGATGGGGTAAGGGCACGGCCTGAGACATAGTCTTTTAGTTCTTGTCTCATTGTGACCTTGAGTGTGGTCTGGTGGCTCTCTTGGGCGGCCTTGGGCAGTGATGAGGTAAGACAGCTTGTTTGGTGCAATGAATGGTATGGTCTTGTAAAAGACTGTCTTGTCCACATTGGCTAAGGACATTCGCCGGTTTGGAAGGTCCATGACAGCTCCAGCAGTGGCCAAAAAGGGTCGGCCTAGTATCAATGGTGTGTCACATCCTCCTTGAATGTTTATGACATGAAAGTCCACCGGGAATCTTGACATCTCCAATCTCTAGAAGAACATCAACAACAACTCCTCTTGGCTTGGCTATAGTATGGTTAGCAAGTCCAATACTAATTTGAGCAGGTTGCAAGCGTGTGATGCCAAGGAGTTTGGCGGTTTGGGTTGGCATGAGGTTTATGCAAGAGCCAGAATCGCATAGTGTTCTATCAAAGTAATGACCATTTACTTGACAGGGAATAGAGAATTGACCTGGGTCTTCAATCTTGTAGAGGGTCTTGAAGGTAGGTTGAACTTTAGCTTTCTCAAAAAGCTCTCTTATGTCTCAGGTGTCTCCTTGCAGTTGTGGAAGAAAGGGGTGAATGGGTAGTGGCGCCAAGCTTCTTTGAAAGACATGCTGGCTGGAAGAGTTTGGACAAACTGATTGAACTCAGCAAGCTTCTCTCTTGATATGGAATTGACATACCACTTGGGCGGTGGTGATGATGGTGGTGATGGTGGTTGATTGACTCCATGAGGGGCAAGGGGAAATCGAGCCTTCCTGAAGATTTGGTGTATCTCTTCTTTGTTTTCACTAGTTGTGAAAAAGAACTCCACTAGACCATGCTTATCCCAAGCTTCTTCAAAAGTGACATAGAATGGAAGTGATTTCACCTTAGCATTGAATTCCTTAAGCTTCATGGGGCTTATCTTGTTGGGATCAATAGGATCATACTGCCAAGTATCTTCTTCTTCAGTAGGTGGTGATGGTCTTTGCATTGCTTCCAATCTTGGAAGTGCAGGAGCTTGACTTCTTGGTGAGAAACGAGGGTCTCTAGGGCTTGGTGTATCCATGCTCTGTTTTGGGGAAGCATTGATGTCGATGCTCTGCTCTTCATCTTCATCATTCAATTGTTCCTCATACTCTCCAAGTCTTGAAAGCATGTTGGGCATTGAACTTAGCCCATTCTTTGGCTTGTCCAGCTAGTGATAGTTGGAAAAGTTGTATCTTCTTGGGGTTGTCTCCAAGTCCATAGTCATGACAAAGCTGCTCAAAGTTGCATAGATGCTCCTTTGCACATTCTGAAATAGAGTTGTAGAAAGGATTCCTCTCTACATGCTTGATTAGCTCTTCATTCATGATGAGGTGGTATGCCTCCCCATTCTTCTTCATCACGCTCTCCTTCCAGCTGATGAGAGTAGTGGTGGTACTTGGATTTGAAAGGTGGCTTCTTGCAAACCTTTCCAAGAAAGCTTCTCTAAAATCGATCCATGACTCGATTGTAGAGGTGGTTCATGCTGCGCCCAATCTAGTGCTGGTCCAGCTAGTGATGTGCTGAATAGCATCATCTTCTTCTCAAAGTCAAAAACTCCATAGGAATCACAAAGGTTGTCAAAGTGATCTATGTGCTCCAGCGCATACTCTGAAAACAGATCATGGAATTGATCTCTCTTCACGAACTCGATCAGCTCAGGGTTAATCTCCTCTTCTGGTGTGGCTAGAAGGTGTTCTTCTTGGTGTGATGCGGCTTGGCTAGACGTCTCCAGGTCGGCTGCTTCAAGGTAAGGAAGAAGTTTCTTCTTTGTCTTCAAAGTGGATGGTCTTGGAGGACTATCCCATGAAGGTGGTGGTGCTTGAGGGCTAACATCTCTTGTTCGCTCAAGAGGTGCTTTGAGGTGGTATGTGGCGAATTGGCATCGCCTTTATAGGGGAAGAGGCTTGTGGCTCCTTCTCCATATCTAACTAGGAAAACCTGAAAAGCTAAAAACAAAAAGGAAAAACCAAAAAAGGAAAAACAAAATCAAAGAAAAAGGAAATAACAAAAACAAAAAGGAAAAGTGAAAACCCTAGACTAGCTCTCTTGCAAGAACTTGTAGGTGCGAATTGGTCCCCGGCAACGGCGCCAAAAACTTGATCGCGGGATCAGGTCTTCCCCTTTCCTATCCCTGATTCTGCAAGTGCACAGGTCAGAAGTAGTAAACGGGTATCGAACACAAGGACCAGATTGCACACTACAAGTTATGAGTTTGAGAACAAGCTAGGGCAAAAGTATAAGTTGGTTGAGTGCAGAGAAAGTAAAGCATGCAAGTAATAAAGTAAGGATTCAATAGGAGAGAAAGGCTAAGCAATAGGATAGTCTTGAGATAAGCAATTCAAGAAGCATGAAATCAATCAATTAGGGTTACCGCACTTAGGTGCTAATCTAGAACTTGAAACACTATGGTATGATCATTCCACTGTCGAGGCTCCGACCCCTTTGTTAATCTACCTAGTCGCTAAACTTTTGGTATGTCCCTAGGTGATTAAATCAAGCATTAGTTCGATCAAGATCAATTGTTCACAACCTACAAGTAGATCAACTGTCGCAGTCTAAAAGAGATTGCCCACCAAATACTAGTTCAGGCGAATGATACAGCACTGTCGAGGCTCAAATCAACCTAAAGGCATATGCTAATTGGCCAGATTAACAACAAGCATTAAGTATAAGCAAAGATGGAGATTATAAGTAAAACCCTAATTGTGATCAATCATCAAGCATACATGAATGCTATCCTTTGACTTCCTATCACTTAACAAGTAAACTACTCAGACATAGAGAAGGAAACGAATTCATATTCATAAGAACAGAGATTCGAATCCTCTCTAGAAAGAGTAACAAGCAAGAACAAAGTAAAAGCAAGCAAAACTTTATTAAGATGTAAAATAGAATTGTGGTCTCTCTCCTTCTTGAGTTACAAGGCTAAAAAGAAGTATTTATAATGCTCTAAGTATAAGAAGCGGCTAAACCTAATCTAGCTAGGTCGGCGCCGGCTTTGGGCTTGAATTGTGCGGATTGGGCTTCAAAAACGGCTTCGGGTCGACCGCGGCGTTCGGACGGTCGTCGGGACGATCGGCCGGACAGTCGGGTCTTGGCCGAGTCGGAACGGTCGGGCCGGATGTTATGGTCGGCCGGCGTGGTCGGCGGATAGGAATTTGGCCGATGGAAATCTCGGCCGGACGCGAGGCATAGTTTCCCGGGTCGGACGGAAGGCGTTACGGTTGCGCGGCGCGAGGCGTTCGTGGCGTGGCGTGGCGTGGCGTTGTGGCGTGGCCGACCGCGGGCTTAGTTTCCCGGGTCGTGAGCGTGATCGGCCGAGCGTTTGGACTTTGGCCGAGACTTCAGTCGGACGGACATGGTTTTGGCCGAGCGCGGAACATCGTTCCTCGGCCAGCCGGACTGTGCGGTTGGCGCTGATTCTCGATATGGCCGTCTGGAGCAGCCTTCACTCTTTTGGCTATAACTCCTTTTCTACTCATCCAAATAGGCCGTTCCACTTGCGTTGGAAAGTTAACTCAATCAGAGCACGCAGGGAACTGGTCTTGATGAAATCCATTGAGTAGATCTTTTTCTAGCTCCATCCAAAGTTGATGCAGGGGCATTGAACTGGTTTAGAGTCCAAATCTCCTGTTTTGCTCCATAATGCACCTTTTTACCTAAAATGACTCTTTGCACTATAAATCCATAAAAACTACCTTTTAACACAAGAATCCACTAGAAAACCATTAGAAAACCATAGTAAAATAGCATAAAAAGTAGGTAAAATAGAGGTATATCACCGATGCCAACACGTCTCTCCGGGTGTGCTTCGTCAGTATATTAACTTCGCCGACGAGGGCCTGTTTGGGCCTTTGGTGATATGGCAGACGTGGGTCCATCTCCTCATTTGCGGTGCAGACTGCCGCGACACGAAGTCGATGTTCATGGAGGAAACATGATCTTGCTGTTTTTTGGCTTCCTTTCAGCGTGTAAATTCCTGACCTCGTTGGGAATTTTACGCATTGGTGGAAGGTCGAAACGATAGCTTTCATTTCGTGAAGCCATGGTGTGCCCAAGATAGTGTTATATATCGCTGGTCTATCGATCACGAAGAATTTAGCCATTCTGGTGATCCCTCCGACGTGGAAGGGTAGGTGGATCGTGCCTAGACTGAAGATGTGTTCGGCGGTAAATCCGGTAAGTGGGCAGAATGACTGTTTGATTTGATCTTCGCCGATTCCCATTCGATTTAGGATCTCTTTGAAGATTAGGTTCACGGATCTTCCGGTGTCGATCAAGATCCTTGCCACGTTGGAGTCGTGGATGTGTAGGCTAACCACGAGTGGATCGAGGTGGGGGTATCCAGTCACGCCGCATCCTGATCCGCGAAGAAAATTGTAGGAGTTTCTTCATGGGTTGAGTTGCGATCAGGATCTTTTGGCGATGCGTGCTCGCACCCCATGACTGTTGGGACGGAGTCGTTAGGATCACCCATTATCATGTTGATTTGCTGCTCTGATTGACTGTCGGAGGGGTCCGAAGCGTCGTCGGATGTATCTTCAGGTGCTATGGATTGTGACGACCTCCTTTTGTAGCGGGACCGATCTCCTTTTACTGGCGGCAGCTTTCCGTGCTGATACATCTGGAGAAGATTACAAGCCAGATGTCTGCAGTTCTTCGTGGCGTGGCGTCGTTGTCATCTAGGAGCGGAGCAGCATCCTGTGGCATCGAGATCGCCGCGGCATATTTCTTGTTCCGACTCGCCGTCGGCTGCTGTGAACGCTATGAGGAGTGATCTCTTGGGGTCGTGTCTTCTTCGTACCTCCACGGCCTCTTCTCTGGGTTTGGACAGGGCTGTCCTCCTGTCTCCGTGTCTCTTTGCATAGAAGTGCTTGTCTTCTTCAAGGAAGATGTAACTCCGGGAACAGTGGAACGCGTCTTTCAAGGTCAAGGCAGGTTTCAGTGATAGGTCCTCTTTGAACTTGGAGTCGTACCAGAGGCCGTTACGGAGTGCTTCCAATAGGACGCTGTCGGGCATTTCGCCGGTGTCGCGAGCTGCTTGCTTGAATCTTTCCATAAAGCTACGCAGGGGTTCACCTTGAGACTGCGTCGTGGTGAACATGTTCTGTGTGACTCGGGTCATGTGCATAGAGTAATGCTTTAGGAAAGCGCTAGTCAAGTCGTCCAAGTTGTCGATCGACTCGGCAGGGAGGTTTGAGAACCAAGTCAAGGCGTCTTTCGCCATGTGTTCGACGAACACTTGACAGTAATTGGCCTCTTTCTCGTCGTAGGATTTGTATTTCTCCCTCGTCATGGCGAGATTGAACGCAGTTAACCACTTCTTGGGATCTTCTTCCCGAGTGTAGGAGTCGATTTTGAGTCGGACTCTTTCATGCAGATCGATTTGGCGGAGTCTGCGCGTGAGTGGGCTCCTCCGGGTATCGGCGAGTGCTTTCGTCAACTCCGGGCCGTGTTGGTGGCACGATGGACCTTAGAATCGACCTCGTCAAGGCGACGGTTCATTCGTTCGAATTCTAGGGCCGCTCATCAGCCAAATAGTGCAGGACGGGTTGTGGTCCCGTTGGTTGTCGCGGCAGCGGGATCCAACGGTTCCTCGTCGTCTTCTTGTGCCAAGGCGTCGACTTGTTCTAGGGTCTTTCTCCTCTGTGCTCGCATAGCCTCGAAACCTTCGGCTAGTAGTTTCACGAAATTCTCCATGAGCTTGCGGAGTTTGTCGCTCGAGGAGGATTTCTTCGAGCTGCGGTGCTTGTCGTTCGACGAAGGTTTCCTTGAGCGACGCGGCACGGAGGGGGGAGGGCTTTCGTCCTTCCTTGAGCGACGCGGCGCGGATGGGGGAGGGCTTTCTGATATACCTCTATTTTACCTACTTTTTATGCTATTTTACTATGGTTTTCTAATGGTTTTCTAGTGGATTCTTGTGTTAAAAGGTAGTTTTTATGGATTTATAGTGCAAAGAGTCATTTTAGGTAAAAAGGTGCATTATGGAGCAAAACAGAGATTTGGACTCTAAACCAGTTCAATGCCCTGCATCAACTTTGGATGGAGCTAGAAAAAGATCTACTCAATGGATTTCATCAAGACCAGTTCCCTGCGTGCTCTGATTGAGTTAACTTTCCAACGCAACTGGAACGGCCTCATTTGGATGAGTAGAAAAGGAGTTATAGCCAAAAGAGTGAAGACTGCTCCAGACGGCTCTATCGAGAATCAGCGCCCGAACGCGCAGACCGGCTGGCCGAGGAACGCATGTTCCGCGCTCGGCCAAAACGTCCGTCCGTCTGAAGTCTCGGCCAAAGTCAAAACCGTTCGGCCGATCACGCATCACGACCCGGGAAAAGCCCGCGGTCGGCCACGCCACGACCGCGCACGCCACGCGCACACCGACAGCCTGCGCAACCTCTCGCGTACCACGGCCGATGTTCCGTCCGAGCCGGGAAACAACGTCCCACGTCCGGCCGAGAAACCATCGGCCAAATTCATCCGTCCGACCACACCGGCCGACCGTGAAATCATCCGGCCCGACCGTTCCGACTCGGCCAAAGACCCGACTGTCCGGCCGACCGTCCCGACCGACCGTCCGAACGCCGCGGTCGACCCGAAGCCGTTTTTGAAGCCCAATCCGCACAATTCAAGCCCAAAGCCGGCGCCGACCTAGCTAGATTAGGTTTAGCCGCTTTTTCATACTTAGAGCATTATAAATACTTCTTTTTAGCCTTGTAACTCAAGAAGGAGAGAGACCACAATCTATTTTACATCTTTAATAAAGTTTTGCTTGCTTTTACTTTGTTCTTGCTTGTTACTCTTTCTAGAGAGGATTCGAATCTCTGTTCTTATGAATATGAATTCGTTTCCTTCTCTATGTCTGAGTAGTTTACTTGTTAAGTGATAGGAAGTCAAAGGATAGCATTCATGTATGCTTGATGATTGATCACAATTAGGGTTTTACTTATAATCTCCATCTTTGCTTATACTTAATGCTTGTTGTTAATCTGGCCAATTAGCATATGCCTTTAGGTTGATTTGAGCCTCGACAGTGCTGTATCATTCGCCTGAACTAGTATTTGGTGGGCAATCTCTTTTAGACTGCGAAAGTTGATCTACTTGTAGGTTGTGAACAATTGACTTAATCGAACTAATGCTTGATTTAATCACCTAGGGACATACCAAAAGTTTAGCGACTAGGTAGATTAACAAAGGGGTCGGAGCCTCGACAGTGGAATGATCATACCATAGTGTTTCAAGTTCTAGATTAGCACCTAAGTGCAGTAACCCTAATTGATTGATTTCATGCTTCTTGAATTGCTTATCTCAAGACTATCCTATTGCTTAGCCTTTCTCTCCTATTGATTTCTCTTTTTTACTTGCATGCTTTACTTTCTCTGCACTCAACCAACTTATACTTTTGCCCTAGCTCGATCTCAATCTCATAGTTTGTAGTGTGCAATCTGGTCCTTGTGTTCGATACCCGTTTACTACTTCTGACCTGTGCACTTGCAGAATCAGGGATAGGAAAGGGGAAGACCTGATCCCGCGATCACTTTCGCCCTTCCTTGGTGATGGGGATCGTCGCGGCGAGGTAGATTGGCTCCTTGGAGGGACGGATTTGTCCCTGTCTTCAGTGGGTAGCGACTTGTCTATCGTTGGTGGCGGTAGATCGTCGCTTAAGTGTCCTTCTGAGCGGGATGGGCTCCCGGTAGGGGTGTTCTCTTTCGAGTTCACCATGATTGCGTTTTCGCAAAAATCTAGATACCTTCGAGATGAATAGCGAGAAGCGTTTCCAGCCCCACGGTGGGCGCCAATTGTTAGATCTGAGATAGCATTCGTTAAGACGGGTTATCGAAGAATATCAGGAAGATTACAAAGATGTTATCTCGCCGACAAGCTTGGCGAGATGAACTGTGATGAACAATAGGAAAACCGAAAAGAAAGTAAAGTGGGTGCCAAAGCCTAGTAATTCTAGATGATCTCGGATGCCTTTTCACGAATGGGGGGTCTTCCATATATAGTGTTGATAGGTCGGCTGATTGGTGAATATTTTCCCTCCGGTGAGATGGAAAACTTCCTCTTTTGCGATATAGAAAACTTCCTCTTGTTCTCGATTTCCTTCCATTCTTCAAGTCGGCATGAGGGTTTGTTAACATTTCCTCATGGATTGTGCCTTTCTCCTCAAGTCTTGTCTTTTTGTGGCTTAAAGACGGATTGGCCTTTATGATTTTACTAATGATGACGGGCTCAGGGAAATGTGCTAATTTCTCCTCTAACATTCTTGACGCTGAAACTCCAGGTCAATCATTTAATTCACTCTCTTGTTCTGTTACAGTTATGTTGCTAAAGCAAGTTTTAATTACTAGTTAAAAATATTAAATTGCGTATCATATCATTTTTGGTAACTTTTGATCTTGGCTGATTTTTAAGTTTTTGTTTTCGTTTTGATTTGACCTATTTAGTGTACAAAAGAGTGAAATTAATCACATAAACAGATTATAAGATTTTGGTTTGTTTTGGATCGCTTTGTTGGTTCAGTTTGATTGGCTCGTTTCTATCTGCAAGCTGTGTACTCTGTTCTAGAAATGTATACAGATATGTTTTGATCGAAATACATCTTTAAAACCATAACTTATATGAAATGGAGGGAGTATAATGTTTTTAATGTGTGTTAATTATCTAGCTCCTACGTTAATGTGAGATTAACATTATGGGAGAAAATGAGAACAGGTTTAGTGGTGTACTTGGGAGATGTAATAACGGCAAACAACTTAGCAACTGATGTACTTGCATTTTACATAGTTTTAGTACATCTTTTATGCATCTTTTGCATAGTTTTAGCATCCATTAGCATCATATCTTGTTCCTTTTCTCTTCTTATGCATTCATTAGTTTTAGGTTGCATTTGCATACATATGCATGTTTGGTCCTTTGAAATAGGTCTTTTGGAGCATTCTGGAGCATATGGGACGTGAGGAGCATGGAGGACTTGGGCATGGACGCAGCTCAACTGGATACGCAAAGGAAGAAGGAGGAAGCCATCTTGAAGACCAGCTCGACCACCTACTCGACCAACCGGTCGAGTTCCTCAACTCGACCGGCCAAGCTTCAACTCGATCGAGCTGAGAAGTCAAAGTCAAACCCGAAAAATGTTGCTTCCCCCTTGACTTTCCTTTGACCCTAAACCTAATCCTCTTGTATTTAAAGGCTAAAAGCCACGAAAAAACCACCAAGCTTTAGATTACTTTTGTTTTAGTTTCTTTAATTTTATTGTCTTTTACTTTTTAGAACTCTAATCCCATCTTTGTGTTCTTGAAGCTCTTGCTTCTTGAATCCTAGATCCTGGATAATCTCTTTGTATTTGCACTTGCTTATTTCAATAAAAGTTGTTTAATTTCATCTCCTCTTTCTTATGATGTTCTATTTATTGCATTTGCTTGTGTTTACATTCATGTGTAGTGAGTAGTTACCCATTAGGGTTTGAGATGGGATAGATTAGAGGTTTCATATGCTTAATCCTTCTTGCTTATGGTCTTAATCTAGATTCTCTCTCTTTTGGATAATCTTAAGGCTACATGACCACTACCCCTGGCTTGTAAGTCCTTAGGCGATTCTCCACATGGAAGTGATGGAAATCGCTGGAAAAGATCCACTAAGAGCTCCAATATCTCTTGCTCTCGAAATAGAGGTCTAAGGGGTTGGATGGATTAGTTTGGGCAATGATCCTATGGCCTCCAAGGTTTGATTCTCACTGGCTAACCCCCTGTTTCTGAGATCATTCCTTGGTTGATAGCCTTCCACCTTGGGAAAGGGTTGGCTAGGCATTGAGAAGCCCAATATCAAGAGAAGCCTTGATACAAGGAGTTTTAAGAGCTAGATGATTAAGTGTAGATTCCTGATTGCAAAACCCTGTCTTGAACCCTAATTCTCGCATTAGCTTGTTAAAGTCGCTGCCTTTATTGCTTTTTACTCAACTCGACCCTAAACTCGATCGAGCTGGTACTCTGTTCCACTCGACTCGAGTCCTTGGTCGAGCTATTGCTTACTGCTTTATTTACTTTTATTGCATTGCATTTCATTTTAGGTTGTTAGTGTTACCACCATATCTTTACTGCTTGCTTGACTTCCTGGTTGTTTCATATTCTCATAGAGTGACAACTTCCCATTTTGGATTGACTACTATATGGTTAAAGGGAATTGTTGATTGTGATTGTGTTGCATCTACCACCTCATCTTATATACCACTGTTGCATTCCACCACATCTCATTTCATATCTTTCACACACACACAAAATCCTATCATCAATTTGGCGCCGTTGCCATTTGGGTTGATTTTTGTTGCATTTGAGTTTCAAATATACTTGGACGATCAAGCTATACCACCCCTGTTCTTTGTACTGCTGGGTTTTTGTCTCTTTTTGCAGGTGTATGCGAACTCGATCGAGTCGGTCTACAGAAGACTTGGTCGAGCTAGACTCATCACGGGTAAAAGAGAGTTCAGAGGACACAGAGGGTACAAGAGGAACCTGAGGTGCTTGTTGCTGATACAATGGAAGTACCAGAGGGAATGGAAACCCTTTGGGCAATTGATGTACTTGCATTTTACATAGTTTTAGTACATCTTTTATGCATCTTTTGCATAGTTTTAGCATCCATTAGCATCATATCTTGTTCCTTTTCTCTTCTTATGCATTCATAGTTAGTTTTAGGTTGCATTTGCATACATATGCATGTTTGGTCCTTTGAAATAGGTCTTTTGGAGCATTCTGGAGCATATGGGACGTAGGAGCATGGAAGGACTTGGGCATGGACGCAGCTCAACTGGATACGCAAAGGAAGAAGGAGGAAGCCATCTTGAAGACCAGCTCGACCACCTACTCGACCACCGGTCGAGTTCCTCAACTCGACCGGCCAAGCTTCAACTCGATCGAGCTGGAAGTCAAAGTCAAACCCGAAAAATGTTGCTTCCCCCTTGACTTTCCTTTGACCCTAAACCTAAATCCTCTTGTATTTAAAGGCTAAAAGCCACGAAAAAACACCAAGCTTTAGATTATTTTGTTTTAGCTTTTCTTTAATTTTATTGTCTTTACTTTTTAGCAACTCTAATCCATCTTTGTGTTCTTGAAGCTCTTGCTTCTTGAATCTTAGATCCTGGATTATTCTTTGTATTTGCACTTGCTTATTTCAATAAAAGTTGTTTAATTTCATCTCCTCTTTCTTATGATGTCTCTTTTATTGCATTTGCTTGTGTTTACATTCATGTGTAGTGAGTAGTTACCCATTAGGGTTTGAGATGGGATAGATTAGGGGTTTCATATGCTTAATCCTTCTTGCTTATGGTCTTAATCTAGATTCTCTCTCTTTTGGATAATCTTAAGGCTACATGACCACTACCCCTGGCTTGTATGTCCATTAGGCGATTCTCCACATGGAAGTGATGGAAATCGCTGGAAAATATCCACTAAGAGCTCCAAATCTCTTGCTCTCGAAATAGAGTTCATAGGGGTTGGATGGATTAGTTTGGGCAATGATCCTATGGCCTCCAAGGTTTGATTCTCACTGGCTAACCCCCTGTTTCTGAGATCATTCCTTGGTTGATAGCCTTCACCTTGGGAAAGGGTTGGCTAGGCATTGAGAAGCCCAATATCAAGAGAAGCCTTGATACAAGGAGTTTTAAGAGCAAGATGATTAAGTATTCCTTCCCTGATTGCAAAACCCTGTCTTGAACCCTAATTCTCGCTTTAGCTTGTTAAAGTCGCTGCCTTTATTGCTTTTTCTCAACTCGACCCTAAACTCGATCGAGCTGGTACTCTGTTCCACTCGACTCGAGTCCTTGGTCGAGCTGTTGCTTACTGCTTTATTTACTTTTATTGCATTGCATTTCATTTTAGGTTGTTAGTGTTACCACCATATCTTTACTGCTTGCTTGACTTCCTGGTTGTTTCATATTCTCATAGAGTGACAATTTCCCATTTTGGATTGATACCCTTTATGCTATAATGACTATGATGGTTAAAGGGAATTGTTGACTGTGATTGTGTTTGCATCTACCACCTCATCTTATATACCACTGTTGCATTCCACCACATCTCATTTCATATCTTTCACACACACACAAAATCCTATCATCAATTTGGCGCCGTTGCCATTTTGGGTTGATTTTTGTTGCATTTGAGTTTCAAATATACTTGGACGATCAAGCTATACCACCCATGTTCTTTGTACTGCTGGGTTTTTGTCTCTTTTTGCAGGTGTATGCGAACTCGATCGAGTCAGTTTACAAAAGACTTGGTCGAGCTAGACTCCAACACGGGTAAAAGGAGAGTTCAGAGGACACAGAAGGTACAAGGAGGAACCTGAGGTGCTTGTTGCTGATACAATGGAAGTACCATAAGGGAATGGAACCCTTTGGGAAATTGATGTACTTGCATTTTACATAGTTTTAGTACATCTTTTATGCATCTTTTGCATAGTTTTAGCATCCATTAGCATCATATCTTGTTCCTTTTCTCTTCTTATGCATTCATGTAGTTTTAGGTTGCATTTGCATACATATGCATGTTTGGTCCTTTGAAATAGGTCTTTTGGAGCATTCTGGAGCATATGGGACGTGAGGAGCATGGAAGGACTTGGGCATGGACGCAGCTCAACTGGACACGCAAAGGAAGAAGGAGGAAGCCATCTTGAAGACCAGCTCGACCACCTACTCGACCAACCGGTCGAGTTCCTCAACTCGACCGGCCAAGCTTCAACTCGATCGAGCTGAGAAGTCAAAGTCAAACCCGAAAAATGTTGCTTCCCCCTTGACTTTCCTTTGACCCTAAACCTAAATCCTCTTGTATTTAAAGGCTAAAAGCCACGAAAAAACCACCAAGCTTTAGATTACTTTTGTTTTAGTTTCTTTTAATTTATTGTCTTTTACTTTTTAGAAGCTCTAATCCCATCTTTGTGTTCTTGAAGCTCTTGCTTCTTGAATCCTAGATCCTGGATAATCTCTTTTGTATTTGCACTTGCTTATTTCATCTTTATCTCCTCTTTCTTATGATGTCTCTTTTCATTGCATTTGCTTGTGTTTACATTCATGTGTAGTGAGTAGTTACCCATTAGGGTTTGAGATGGGATAGATTAGGGGTTTCATATGCTTAATCCTTCTTGCTTATGGTCTTAATCTAGATTCTCTCTCTTTTGGATAAATCTTAAGGCTACATGACCACTACCCCTGGCTTGTATGTCCATTAGGCGATTCTCCACATGGAAGTGATGGAAATCGCTGGAAAAATCCACTAAGAGCTCCAAACTCTTGCTCTAGAAATGGAGGTCATAGGGGTTGGATGGATTAGTTTGGGCAATGATCCTATGGCCTCCAAGGTTTGATTCTCACTGGCTAACCCCCTGTTTCTGAGATCATTCCTTGGTTGATAGCTCCACCTTGGGAAAGGGTTGGCTAGGCATTGAGAAGCCCAATATCAAGAGAAGCCTTGATACAAGGAGTTTTAAGAGCAAGATGATTAAGTGTAGCTTCCCTGATTGCAAAACCCTGTCTTGAACCCTAATTCTCGCATTAGCTTGTTAAAGTCGCTGCCTTTATTGCTTTTTACTTCAACTCGACCCTAAACTCGATCGAGCTCGGTACTCTGTTCCACTCGACTCGAGTCCTTGGTCGAGCTGTTGCTTACTGCTTTATTTACTTTTATTGCATTGCATTTCATTTAGGTTGTTAGTGTTACCACCATATCATTTACTGCTTGCTTGACTTCCTGGTTGTTTCATATTCTCATAGAGTGACAACTTCCCATTTTGGATTGATAACCCTTTATGCTATAATGACTATGATGGTTAAAGGGAATTGTTGACTGTGATTGTGTTTGCATCTTACCACCTCATCTTATATACCACTGTTGCATTCCACCACATCTCATTTCATATCTTTCACACACACACAAAATCCTATCATCAATTTGGCGCCGTTGCCGATTTGGGTTATTTTTGTTGCATTTGAGTTTCAAACATACTTGGACGATCAAGCTATACCACCCCTGTTCTTTGTACTGCTGGGTTTTTGTCTCTTTTTGCAGGTGTATGCGAACTCGATCGAGTCGGTCTACAGAAGACTTGGTCGAGCTAGACTCCAACACGGGTAAAAGGAGAGTTCAGAGGACACAGAGGTACAAGAGGAACCTGAGGTGCTTGTTGCTGATACAATGGAAGTACCAGAGGGGAATGGAAACCCTTTGGGCAATTGATGTACTTGCATTTTACATAGTTTTAGTACATCTTTTATGCATCTTTTGCATAGTTTTAGCATCCATTAGCATCATATCTTGTTCCTTTTCTCTCTTTTATGCATTCATGGTAGTTGTAGGCTGCATTTTCATACATATGCATGTTTGGTCCTTTGAAATAGGTCTTTTGGAGCATTTTGGAGCATATGGGACGTGAGGAGCAAGGAAGGACTTGGTGCATGGACGCAGCTCAACTAGACACGCAAAGGAAGAAAGAGGAAGCCACCTTGAAGACCAGCTCGACCACCTACTCGACCATCCGGTCAAGTTCCTCAACTCGACCAGCCAAGATCAACTCGATCGAGCTGAGAAGTCAAAGTCAAACCCGGAAAATGTTGCTTTCCCCTTGACTTTCCTTTGACCATAAACCTAAATCCTCTTGTATTTAAAGGCTAAAAGCCACGAAAAAACGACCACACTTTAGATTACTTTTGGTTTAGCTTTCTTTTAATTTATATTCTTTTCTTTTTAGAACTCTTAATCCAATCTTTGTGTTCTTGAAGCTCTTGCTTCTTGACTCCTAGATCCTGGATTATCTGTTTTGTATTTGCCCTTTGCTATTTCATCTTTATCTCCTCTTTCATTTGATGTTTACTTCATTGCATTTGCTTGTGTTTACATTTATGTGTAGTGAGTAGTTTACCCATTAGGGTTTGAGATGGGATAGATTAGGGGTTTCATATGCTTAATCCTCCTTGCTTATGGTCTTAATCTAGACTCTCTCTCTTTTGGATAAATCTTAAGGGTACATGACCACTACCCCTGGCTTGTATGTCATTAGGCGATTCTCCACATGGAAGTGATGGAAATCGCTGGAAAATATCCACTAAGAGCTCCAACAACCCTTGCTCTTGAAATGGAGTTCATAGGGGTTGGATGGATTAGTTTGGGCAATGATCCTATGGCCTCCAAGGTTTGATTCTCACTGGCTAACCCCCTGTTTCTAAGACCATTCCTTGGTTGATAGCTTTCACCTTGGGAAAGGGTTAGCTAGGCACTGAGAAGCCCAATATCAAGAGAAACCTTGGTCCTAGGCGTTTTAAGAGCAGGATCGATTAAATGTAGCTTCCCCTGGTTGAAAAACCCTGTCTTGAACCCTAATTCTCGCATTAGCTTGTTAAAGTTGCTGCCTTTAGTGCTTTTTACTTCAACTCGACCCTAAACTCGATCGAGCTCGGTCACTCTATTCCCGCTCGACTCGAGTCCTTGGTCTAGTTGTTGCTTTACTGCTTTTCTTTCTTTTACTGCATTGCATTTCATTTTAGTAGGTTGTTAGTGTTACCCCCATATCATTTACTGTTTGCTTGACTTCCTGGTTATTTCATATTCTCATAGAGTGACAAATCTCACTCATTTTGGATTGATACTCTTTATGCTTTAATGATTATATTGGTTAAAGGGAATTGTTGACAGTGATTGTGTTTGCATCTTACACCCTCGTCTTATATCCCACTGTTGCATTCCACCACATTTCATATGATATCTTTCACACCCACACACAAATCCTATCATCAGCAATGGACTCGGTCGAGCTAGGCAAACTCGACCGATTGGTCAAGGAGATGCTCCAAACCGCCACCAACAGAGACAAGGGATTGTTCCACCACCAGTGCAGAACCACAACTTTGAGATCAAGCTGGGAATGATCAACCTTGTCAGAACAAGATGTTCCATGGATTGCCAAGTGAAGACCCCATTGACCACCTTGATGAGTTTGATAGGCTTTGTGATTTGACAAAGATCAATGGTGTCTCTGAAGATGCCATCAAGCTGAGACTCTTTCCTATGTCTCTAGCTGACAAAGCTCACCAATGGGAGAAGAGCTTGCCCCATGGCACAATCACCACTTGGGATGAATGCAAGAAGGCCTTTCTTGCTAAGTTTTTCTCCACCGGTCGCACAGCCAAGCTTAGAGGAGAGATATCCAGCTTCATCCAGCGAAACAATGAGACATTCGCAGAGGCTTGGGAGAGGTTCAAAGGGCTACACAAGTCAGTGCCCACACCATGGATTCAACAATGAATCCTACTCTACTCTTTATAGAGGATGCTTGCAAGGTATAGGGAGATGCTAGACACAGCAGCAATGGGAACTTCCTCAACCAGGATGTAGATGATGGCTGGCAACTTGTGGAGAACATAGCTAACTCAAATGGAAGCTATGGAGAAGAGTATGATCGCACCAATCGGAGCTCGACCCACCACTCGATCGAGTCAGAGAAATTGAGAAAAGATGTTAAGGCATTGAATGAGAAGTTGGATAAGCTGATCCTAGCTCAGTCCACAATGAAGAAAGTCAACTTTGTGTCTGCTGAGGAGATGGAACCAGTCCAAGAAGGGGAGGATACACAATTTGCTGAGGTGTGCTACATGAGCAATGGGCAAGGAGGTTACAACAAAGGATACTATAATTACAAGTCCAACCCTGCCATGTCATACCGCAACACTGATGTTGCTAACCCTCAGGACCAAGTCTATCCTCAACAACAAGCAGCTCGATCGAGTCAAGCCACAACATGGGTATGGTCAAAAGAACAATTACCAAGGACCACAAGGCACTTTCCCTGGACAACAAATGAATATCCCACCAGGCTTCCCCACCAACCGCCCCAGCCTGCACCTTCACAAGAGAATGAGCTCAAGGCAATGCTAAAGCAACTACTTCAAGGGCAAGCTGATGGGGTAGTGGACACAAGCAAGAAGCTAGCTGAAATAAACTCAAGATCGAGAACCTCAACACAAGGGTTTACTCTCTGGAGAATCATGCTTCTTCTGTTGCTGCTGCTACAAAGCAAGGACAACTACCTGGTAAAGCTATTCAGAACCCCAAGGAACAGTGCAAGGTCATCTTCACTCAAGAAGGACTTGATGAAGAGGATCAAGAAAGGTCATTGAAGATTTTTGTTTACTGCTGAATGATGAAGAGATTGTTGCTGCTGAGGCTCCTGGAGTCCAGATTGATCAACCAGAAGTGCATGCACCTACTGTGGCCATTCACACTTCACCAGTTGAGCTCGCACAACAAGCTCGATCGGCAGCTCGATCGAGTCCAACTCTAGCTCGATCGAGTCCGACCTCTTCTGTCCGAAGCCTGTTTTGCTTGATCCTTACCAACCGGTTGCCGCTTCCTCGTCTCGCCTACTTAGTCAAGGTCACAAGGAAGTGATTCACAAGTTCAGAAGAGATCTCAGTGGGATTGGAATTGAGTTGCCCTATGGATAGCATGAGTGAGGCATTTGATCAAATGCAAATGGTCAAGGATGTTATGGCCAACAGTGATAAAGTTTCAGAGTCCTGAAGAGTCTACTCATCAGTTCAACCTGCTTACTTCACCCACCTTTCCTACCAAAGGTCAAGGATCAAGGGAAATTCACTCTCCCTTGCACACTTGGGCATCTTGAGATTGACAATGCCTTAGTGGATTCTGGAGCAAGTGATGTGCGGCATCAGGTCTTCCCCTTTCCTATCCCTGATTCTGCAAGTGCACAGGTCAGAAGTAGTAAACGGGTATCGAACACAAGGACCAGATTGCACACTACAAGTTATGAGTTTGAGAACAAGCTAGGGCAAAAGTATAAGTTGGTTGAGTGCAGAGAAAGTAAAGCATGCAAGTAATAAAGTAAGAGATTCAATAGGAGAGAAAGGCTAAGCAATAGGATAGTCTTGAGATAAGCAATTCAAGAAGCATGAAATCAATCAATTAGGGTTACCGCACTTAGGTGCTAATCTAGAACTTGAAACACTATGGTATGATCATTCCACTGTCGAGGCTCCGACCCCTTTGTTAATCTACCTAGTCGCTAAACTTTTGGTATGTCCCTAGGTGATTAAATCAAGCATTAGTTCGATCAAGATCAATTGTTCACAACCTACAAGTAGATCAACTGTCGCAGTCTAAAAGAGATTGCCCACCAAATACTAGTTCAGGCGAATGATACAGCACTGTCGAGGCTCAAATCAACCTAAAGGCATATGCTAATTGGCCAGATTAACAACAAGCATTAAGTATAAGCAAAGATGGAGATTATAAGTAAAACCCTAATTGTGATCAATCATCAAGCATACATGAATGCTATCCTTTGACTTCCTATCACTTAACAAGTAAACTACTCAGACATAGAGAAGGAAATCGAATTCATATTCATAAGAACAGAGATTCGAATCCTCTCTAGAAAGAGTAACAAGCAAGAACAAAGTAAAAGCAAGCAAAACTTTATTAAGATGTAAAATAGAATGTGGTCTCTCTCTCTTTTGAGTTACAAGGCTAAAAAGAAGTATTTATAATGCTCTAAGTATAAGAAGACGGCTAAACCTAATCTAGCTAGGTCGGCGCCGG